TCCGCTAATTCTGAAGATGACATCCTGTATGATGCCATAGAAATAGGTCTGGTACCAGGGACAAGATCAATAGTAAATTCCACTTCTCTTTCTAGCGGTACATCTGAAATATTCTCCGAAAATACTTCTGGAAACTCTCGTACCACCCGCACTTCATCAATCATAACTTGGTTGTCAACAGATAGCGATGTGAACATCGCAAACACCTGAGTGTCATCCTTCTAAAATCTCCTTCAACTCGTTTATAGATAAGAAACTAACCCCCTCCTCATCACCAGGAGTAGGAAAACACACTGATTGATTAAAATAATTAATTTGAACATGGTTAAACATCAACTAGTTCATTCCCAAGATAATATCGAGATTCATCAGCGGCAAGAAAATGAGATCCACACATAAATTCCTATCAAAGATTCTCAAAGGACAATTCAAGAAAATAAACGAAGTAGCCACTGGTCCCTTGGCAGGAGTTTTGATAACCATTTCTCCCTTCATCACAGATAAACTAAGGCCTAACCTTTTTACACAATCATCATAAATAAAGGAATGAGTAGCACCAATATCAATAATAACAATCAAAGGCGTATTATTAATATAACATATACCTCTGATTAACCTTTCTTCATTGGAAGTCTGAGTTCTTGACAAAGCGAACACTTTGCCTCCAGTTGCAGCTTGTTTTGGTTTCTGGCAATGAGTACTGATATGATCAGGTTCTCTGCAATTGAAGCAAATCACTACCTTCTCAGTGCAATTAGCGACCAAGTGTCCTGCCTTACCACACTTGTAACACTTCTTCACATCGCTCTTGCACTCATTGACGCGATGACCCATCTAACCACATTTATAACACTTAGGAATCGTAGGAGCACCTCCCTCAATATGCTTCTTGCCGTTAACATATCTCGATTTACCTTTATCAGTTGGAGCTGCATAAGGCTTTCCACGGTTCATCTGTTGTTTTCCTTTCCTCTCGGCCAACCCCTTATAGTGAGTCGATCGAGCCTTTCTATCTTCTTCATAGATTCTACAACAATCCACCAAATGTGGAAATCTTCTTATTCGTTTGTACCCGATCACCTATTTGATCTCAGGCCTTAAACCGTTCTCAAATTTGACACACTTTGAGAACTCAGTAGTTGCCTCACTATAGTGAGGGTAGAACTTAGCAAGTTCCACAAATCTGGCAACATATTCCGTAACTGACATGTTACCCTACTTTAACTCCAGAAACTCAATTTCCTTCTTACCTCGGACATCTTCAGGAAAGTATCTCCTCAGGAATTCCATACTAAACACAGCACAAATGATAACTTCTCCTGTAGCTCCCAACAATTGACAGGTGCTAACCTACCAGTCATCGGCCTCTTCAGCTAACGTGTGAGTATCAAACCGCACCTTCTGTGCCTCAGGGAAATTCATAACTTGGAAGATCCTTTCTATCTTTCTAAGTTAAGTTTACGCTCCATCTGGATCGTATCTTACCTTGAAGGTAGGTGGTTTGTTCTTTCGAAACTCATCATTTTCACCAGCATTAGGCTGATTCTGCAGAACCTGAGCAACAAATTGCAAAGTAGCAGCAATAGCAGCATCGTTCCTTCCATCCATTCTCTGTTACACATCAACAATAACATACAATGGTTAAGGAAACGACATCGACAATAGTCAACTGTCAAACAACAACGACTCAACAACTTGGTCGGACAGACCGACCTGCTCTAATACCAATGTGTAACACCCTAAATAAACACCTATAATGTTCTTAAATAAAACATCAGAGTAATTAAATAAACACACGAAACTTAGGATGTTACGACGAACATATAAAACCTGAACATTATTTTATTTGCAGCGGAATCATAAATTCATTTATTATTTCATGGAATGTAAAAGTCAATGTGGCATCACATAATCCATTAAAAGAAATTAAATAAGATAAAAGAGATGTCCACAATCTCAAAGAAAATATAAATCATAAAAACGTTCCCACAATTCCCCAGAGTTACAATTAGAGCAGACACCAACTATAGAGAAGAGATAAGAAGACTTCATCTTCAACTCACACCTGAGTCCTACCGTGGAATATCTGCACATTGCCCATGTGGAGGCAATATTCAAACAGAAGAGGTGAGATATCATGATATTATAAAGAAAAGCATGTTAAACAACATGCATTAAGTTATCACAACAATAATTCAACTAACATCTCACATCAATCATCCAACGATATCATCACCAATTATTCACCAAACAAACAACAAATCACACGATACAAATCAATTAATTATCCATCACCATGTATTTAACAACTTAGAAACATATATGACATATAATGCAATAAGACTCACACCCGACTCAATGCGTATGCATGTGGTACCAATTTTCGTGAACACTTAGGTTCACTCACTGATCCATCACCTCCGAATCAACTATCATCCCAATCCACACAATGGAATTTTAGGCTTACCAACAACGAACCATGTGTTCTCAAATGTATGCAATACAACTATTTATGCATATAACAACACCAACACCATCGTGTACAATAACTCACCACCATGGTTATTGTACACCGCCCAAATATGGTCAACAGGCATAAAAATGTATCTCATATAGTATAGACACACACATACACACACACACACACACACACACACACACACATGTGTATATATATATATATATATATATATATATATATATATATATATATATATATATATATGTGTGTGTGTGTGTGTGTGTGTGTGTGTGTGTGTGTGTGTGTGTGTGTGTGTGTGTGTGTGTGTGTGTGTGTGTGTGTGTGTGTGTGTGTGTGTGTGTGTGTGTGTGTGTGTGTGTGTGTGTGTGTGTGTGTGTGTGTGTGTGTGTGTGTGTGTGTGTGTGTGTGTGTGTGTGTGTGTGTGTGTGTGTGTGTGTGTGTGTGTGTGTGTGTGTGTGTGTGTGTGTGTGTGTGTGTGTGTGTGTGTGTGTGTGTGTGTGTGTGTGTGTGTAATGCAATTACAATGACATCATCAAACATGCTTATTTTACACCAATAACCCTACAATAACCTCTTTATAACAACATTAAAGTTTCACTTACAACAAAATTTCTTTACATGTACAATAAGTAATAGTCGTAATCTTCAACACATTAAACATGAAAATATTAGAAAAATGGTTCATCTAATCATACCATGTTAAAATTTCTGCTCATTAACTTTTCAACGCTTCGAACGGTTCGTCATTTGGATTAACGATTAAAAAGTTATGACCGAAACTGTTTCTAGCGTTTTTCTGCCTATGAGTCGACCCCAGGGTCGACGCGTAGGGTACTTAGGTTGACACAAGGCCTATGAGTCAACGCATACTGTTCAAATTTCCACAATACTACATTCGGGTGACCTCAGGTCGACCTAGGGAGTTATAGCGGTCGACGTACACTATTCCGAACCCCAAAAATCACTTTTTTTTAAAGTTATTTCACCAGAGATTTTCATGCCAAAGTCTATACCACTAGCCCCCATCATCTTAGACCCGATTTTATATCAAAATAACATCCTAAAACTCGATTATGCTATGTTTTACTCATGGATTAACAACAAATCATCATCAATTTCATACTTCCGACTCAAAACTCCAAACCTCAACAATGGAGGAACTTTCAACAATTTCCAAAACACAATCACTACACACATATAAGTACAAAACTCATCACATATCAGTTATAAAATCACAGTGTATCACATAATCAACTATTAATTTCATCATTGATTAAGTATTCATAGTAATCATAACATAGAACAACATCTCATCCATAAGACAAAACCTAACTTTTACCTACCATTCAACATATTAACCCTTATAAAACCAGAACCTCACCCTTACCTCGAAATCAAGCTTTCTAGACTTTCACAAATGGCGGTTCCTCTTCTTCTCCTCTAGTCCTAGCCTTTCTCACTGTCAGTTCCAAAACATGTACGATCAGAAACTGATTCATATCTTCCAATTCCCTTATAACCCCCTCAACTATGGTTTGCCTCTTATGTCCTTACTTCTTCCTCTAACTCTCTTTTATGCCCTTGCATTCGACATGATTGAAGGAGAAACAATACAATCGCATAATGTTGAATATTTGGTCATAATTAAAACGTTGGATCGTGAAGTATATAAATGATTTTTTGGGGTTTTTTGAGGAAGGAGAAGACTAGCAACAAACTCTAAAATTTTTTTTGGGTGCCACGGGGATGAACAACAAATTCTAGGAATTTCTAGTGTTTTATAATTGCATGAATTAATTTAATATGTTTTTAATTTAAAATGTTTAATTTAATCAAAATTTTTAATAATGTAATAATTCTTTTTGAATTTCGGTCCATATTTCATTTGTCACGTCATAACTATCATGACTGAACATGCCACATAACTAAATTTGAACTATGAATAAAAAAGACCAAAAAATATTCATAACAAAAAATGTAAAGGGTTAAAAAAAATATAAAAAATGGACTAAAAAAACTGGATATAAGTCTTTTATTTTTCTTTTCTATATTTATCATCTTTATAAACCAAATAAAATATAAATAAGAAATAAATTTAATTGTCCTTGTTTATTCATTAAAATAATCAAATTGTTTTTTTATAAAGATTAAATTGAATTTTACAATTTTTTTCATAATTAAATTGAATTTTCATTCGAACGATTATAAAAGACGAGGATAAAATAGACTTTTTTTATTAAATTTGTCGGTTCTGAGACCACTTGTAAGAGAATAGAAAAAATATCTCACAAAAATATCTTTTGTGGTCCCGTAGTCCACGATAGTCAGGTAAACCTAACTCTACACAATGGTCTCATTTATTGTTAACAGTCATAAGTTTAACCCGGGTACTAACTCTAGTTAACTCAACCTCTCATTCCTCAGCTATATAACAAGCCGTTCGGTGTGCTCTCAAAAATATCTTCAACCAGTCTTTTTCCCTTTATACCATCTTAGTCCCAATTTTAGTGTTTCTTCCATGGCTGCCTCAGATGTTGAGTACCGGTGCTTCGTTGGTGGTCTAGCATGGGCCACTGACAACGATGCTCTAGAGAAAGCTTTCTCTCAATACGGTGAAATCATCGACTCGAAGGTCCGTTTGTTGCAGGCGGATCTGACACGATTTTGATTCGGATTCATCTCAATCCTATTCTGATCTGTGATCTGTTCTGTTACTGTGTTACTTGATCTATTTTCTACTGTGATTCTGTTACTGATTCTGTTACTGATTCTGTTACTATATCGTATGATTCTTTTATTGCTCACACCAATAGGTACGTTCATCTTCTTCTTTTAACAAGAGGCGAAGATTGATCGGTTACTATTCGGTTCTGGATCTGTATTTCTGTATGTTATTTTTCATTAGATCTGATTTTTGTTTGTTGATTTTTGTTCAGATTATTAACGATCGTGATACTGGAAGGTCAAGAGGTTTTGGATTTGTGACCTTTGCCACAGAGCAATCCATGAGAGATGCCATCGAAGGGATGAACGGTCAGGACATGGACGGACGTAACATCACAGTAAACGAAGCTCAGAGTCGTGGTAGCGGTGGAGGAGGCCGCGGTGGCGGTGGATATGGTGGCGGCCGTGGCGGAGGTGGATATGGTGGAGGCGGAGGAGGCTATGGTGGCCGTCGTGAGGGTGGAGGCGGAGGATATGGTGGAGGCGGAGGAGGCTATGGTGGCCGTCGTGAAGGCGGAGGGGGAGGATACGGTAGCGGAGGAGGATATGGTGGCGGAGGTGGTGGTTATTCTCGCGGCGGAGGTGGTGGTGGAAACTGGAGGGATTAGGGTTTAGGTGCTTATCATTTATGATTATTTAAGTTTAAATCTAGACGTTAAGATCTACGGATTGATCTAAACTCGTCTAGAATTGGGTACTGGTTCTGTAATGATCTTTTTTTTCTGTGTCTCGTTTGTGTGTCTGTGTCTCTGAATCTGGTGCATCTTTGAAGCTGGTTGTGCATAACGATCAATTGAAAGAATAGTGAGATATTAGTGGTGACAGATTTTGATAATGAATTCGGTTTTTTTCATTTACCTTCGCCAGATTTAAGTAACCTGAATATTGTTTAATTAATTAGAAAGACTTTTTGAAGCTGTAACTTGTAATGACTCGAGGTAAAGTGGCAATTAAGTTTAGTATACTACTAGTTTGACTACACGTTTCCCCATTAATAGGGATATGTACGTTGGTTGGATTGGTTTAGGTTGACTACACGTTTCCCCATTAATAGGGATATGTGCGTTGGTTGGATTGGTTTAGGTTGTTTTTCGACAAACTCAATACCGAAACTATATTGAACATTAACTGGGTTGAAACGTCTGATTTGGGAGTTGTTAAATTGATCTGTATAATTGGAGTCTAATCACATGTTCAATTAAAACTGCAATTCTGTATAATTTAAAATGGCCGATTGAAAGTAAGGGTAAGAATGTATCGGTTGTAAGGAACTCTAAACTATTTGTTGAAGAGACTAATTGATCTGTATAATTTAAAATGGCCGATTGAAATTAAGGATAACCAAAGTATAGCGTTATTGACCGCCTCATCCACTCCATGGTCTATATGGTGATCACGATTTTATTTAACGAAATCTGACTGTAAATATATAATTTATAACATAGTTTTATAATATATGAAACTCACCTCCTCGTCCACTCCATGTATATAGGTGATTGTGACTTTATGAGTTTAACGATCTAACTTTATGAGTTTTAACGAAATCTAACCGTAAGTATATAATTTATAACGCAGTTTTAAATATATGGAACTTATTAAGACTAACAATGGTCAATCTATTGTTATCTGAAATCTATTGATGTTGTGTAAAGTTAAGAAAGGTTAAGATGTGAAAGGAAACAGTTAACTAAAAGTTTTGGGAATTATATAAAAAGAGACTAGAATATGGATTTCACGTATCACAAGCCCAACTTTTTGAATTGGGTAGAACTTTACAAGATGTTTTTACTCATGGTCAAATCTATACTTAGGGTCACAACAAAAAAAAAAAAAAATCTTGATACACAATAAAAGTGACTGTTAAATCTACAACGACAAACATTGTAAATAAAGAAGTTTTCAACTTCGTAAATTTTAGGCATCATAGAAAATATTGGTTAAAAGGTATTGTTTCACACTCTTGCAGTGTTGACTGAGCTACACTCCCTAACCACATGATTTAACCCTCGCTCGCCAGTTTTAAATAGAAAGCATAGTTTGAAAATGAGATCCTAATTGATATCTAAAGCGCTCTCGCTGTTTTAAGATCGATGCCTAGTTTTTATTATTCGGTTCGATACTCATACTCTCGCACTATCAGCTCGAACCTTAATTTGCTACTCACTCTCGTGACGAAACAATAAAACATACAATTGGAAATTAAAACCAAAACAGAATTTTAAACACAATTTCGCGCCTATTATTTTCTACCGAAATCCACATACGTCGTATTCAGACAAAATTAACAATACATTATTTCAAGTGAAAACAACGTAAGCATGACATTCGAATTTAAAAGCAGCATTGTAACAAATAAAGGAAATGCAATAATTATACTAAGGTAAAAGCAGGAAATAAAAACCTGTAAATTAAATGCACGAAACTAAACTTGAAGAAATAACTTTATTCCGGCCAAATTTCTTCGATCCAAGAGTACAAGAAGTAGAAATACAAAAAAAAACAACATTCTTGTGACAATAACTCGATGCGACTTATTGTCATTTTACAAGTAATTTATGCCTAGAACTATTTTGACAGTGCTTCTGCACGGTTCTTGGATACCTTAGAATGATCAGAACAACCCTATATATAGACCAAGCAGAGTTTGTAACTCCCCAAAACGTGCAAAAGGCGGTTGGAGAAGAAAAAGGAGTGGGAAGAGGAAGTTTCAACTGCTTTCACGTAATTCTGATTCTGCATGATCATGGCGAACGCCAATAGGGAATGACAAACGCCATTTCCTTCCTCATTAATTGATGCGACATTCTGGTCAATGGCGGACGCCATTAGGGAATGGCGAACGCCATTGTACCAAAATGCACAGATTCTGCTCTTCTGCTATTCTTTTCTAGATTCTTTGCGCAAAAAGCTTCTAAAATGAAATAAACTACAAAACAAACAGTAAACAACGTAAAGCAATAAAAATACAGTGAAATAAAGACGAAATTATAATTTTTGAGTTTAATAAACATGATATGTTTTCACGTTATCAAACTCCCCCACACTTAGACCATTGCTTGTCCTCAAGCAATCCCTAACACAATAAACAAATAAGTGTAGTGTCTGAGGCTCAGTGTCGGCCTCGGCCTCTATGACGTCCAATATCGCCTCTACCACAAGCCGGGTGTGGTACATGCTGCATAAGCTCTATCATGTATGTTACCTCCATGCGTAATCCGTTCACCTACTCGATGAGGTCACCCATATTATGCTCGGTCCTGTCAACAAAATCAATAAGTTGCTCCTGATCTGGTGTATGGTGGCCATCATCTCCTCTTACCGCCTCTGCATACTCTTGAGTAGCACGTCACGCTCTGCCTCAATATAATTGTGGTGTCTAAGCTCACATAGGACATCATCAATGGCAGTTCCGATAGCGGTGTAATCGTACTCCTCGCGTGACTGACGTCTGGATGAAGTACCTGCAGAAAAATCAGCATAACCACGTGTGGTGTGTGCATGAGTGATGTCGGTCTCGGGAGCATCATGTTCCATACGCTCAATCTCCTCGTCAGTGTCATTTTCCACACCTTCCTGGACATTAACATTGTCACCAGGATCAGGGGCATTAAGATCATAAACCCAGTTGCCTCTCACTCGCACATTAGTGCGTGCGGCGGAAGGCAAAGTGATTCCCCTAATCCCTTTGTTACTCACCATTAAGTAATACATGCCATCGGGTTTGTTCTTAATCAGGCGCATACTACAACAGACATCAAGGTCTAAAAATGGAATCTCAAGTGGTTGTAGTGTAGCTAACTCGTTGCGTAAATCCAACGCGAGGGCTATGGATGTGATCAAAACTCCTACACAAATATGACCGCTTACTCTAACACTAATTAACAGACTGAAGATGTGCAAGAAAAGGGTGTAGGATTCACCCATGGCTGTGTCAGAGCGCAATATAAAAAGAAGAGATCCTTGGAGTTCACTTTTTTCATTGTTCTTTCAACCAAAATGGTATTGCCTAAAATACGGTGAAGGTACTAGATTGCTGGATTATGAATAGCAGTGGCCTTGAGGCCTTCCCAATCATTTGTGGTTTGGCCAGTGATCTGACGCCAAAAGCCAAGAGCTTCGGCTTCCCAATCGCTCTCTAGAAGAGCTTTGCATGCAAAGCCATGAGGAAATTGAAATATGTTGGCCATTTGGTCATAATTAAAGGTGTAGTATCTGTTTAACATTCTAAAATGAACGGTGCCTACTGCGCAGGTGCCTCCTATAGGTGTTTCATATCTATAATTGCTTAGGAGTTTAAGAGTAATTCTAACATAAGTAGGACTAGTAAGAGAACAAAAATAAGACATTCCTAAGTTATTAAGCATCCAATTGACACTACCAATTAATCCTAAATCACGAAGGACAACGTTATGGGGGTACCTCGTTGCCGCGACACCCCTCTCGAATAATTTGTGGTATTTCTCTCTTTGATTTTCTTCCTCAACGCCCTCTACAAAAGTGATGTCGAGATAATCAACCTCTCTTCTTTGTCTTGCTACTCTAGAAGGCATGGTGAATGAGAAAGTGAAAGGGTTGGATGGATAAGTTAAGAAATTTGGAAAGGGTGGAGGATTAATAGAAGAGTTTTTTTTTTTTGGATTGGAATGTGAGAAAATGATTAGAATTTTGATATTTATGGTAATGAAGGGAAGTTGGAAGGTTTAGGAGTGAATGAGTGAAGTAGAGTAAAAGTTTTTCAAAGGTTTAAATATGGATGATGTTGGAAAACATGCAAGAGAGAAGTTTGAAAAGCGTAAATGCCTTTCTGACTGATATGGCGTTTGCGCTTTAGGCTTATGGCGAACACCATTTTCTTAAAATGCTACAATTTAAAAACAGGCTAATGGCGAACACCATTAGCATTATGGGGATCTGTTTCCCTTGAAAATCAGAAAACAACCGCTGATCTTCCAAATCTAACTTTGGTGACTCACATGATCGATCAGATTGATCCTAGGACATGTGCTAAAAGATTTATTTTTGGTTTTAAGACTTTATCCAAGTTCCACACTTAAATAAGGTTGGGATAAACAAAATCCTAAAAGAACATCTATTCGACTACGGGTTGATTTGCAGGTAACATAAGGCTTCTAATAAAAAGAAGAAAGTTTGTTGGTAAAGGTGGATTTAGTTTGAGGGCGAAGAGAAAAGAATTGCGTAAAGGGAAAAGAAGTAAGGTAAAGAGTAAAAAAGGGTAAGGACAATAAAGGCAGTAAAAGACTTTGTAAATCTTAAAGTAAAAACAAATAAATTGCATTAAGTTTAAAAGATGGTGTGTTTACATTACGTACATTCTCCTTGATACTCTTTTCTCTACACTCGGATACTTTGAGTAAATTTAGGAGTGACTTGCACAAATAGTAAATTACAACACACTTTGGATGTGTCTAAGACACTCTATTTATAGTAACAAAAAATAACCTCTAATAACTTCCAACATAATCTCCTTCCGCCACTTGTCTTAAATGCATGGATCCATCATTCATAAGGTGACACGTGTCTCCCTCCATTTTCCACAAACAAAACCGTTCCCTCCAACATTAAAATTTCAAATACTTCGACGCACCAT